AATAAATAAAAAAATAAAAAAATAAATATAATTTTCTAAGATAATGATAAACTTACTGTAATCCTTTTAAACTATGATATTTATTGGTGGAATGATAGATTAGTAGATAGTTAACAATATCTTAAATAATACCTGCTTCTTTCTCTCTTTAGCATTCTTAATATAGATATTATGTGGCATTTTTGCTTTCACTGTATTTTCAGCAAGGGTTTAAATAAGTTTTTGTTACTTTAAAAATTCTGCACAGGGGCCGGGGAGATGGCTCAGTGGAATAAGTGCTTCCCTGGCAGGTGCAAGGGTCTGAGTTCAATCCCTGGTTCTGCAAAAAAATAAATAAATAAAATAAATAAATAAATAAAAATTCTGCACAGAACAAATCAGTGTGGCTCATCATGCTAATAGAATGTGCCACAGAAGCAATAAAAAAGATAAAGACAACATGGCTGGCATGTCTTAAAAATGGAGATTTTGCTGGAGAAAAATTTCATGAGAAAATAGTAATATGTATGCTTTGTTACCTAAAATACAACGTGTATTAAGAAGAAATTTTAAGGGCTGGCTAGATAGCTCGGTGGAATAAGCACCTGCTTAGGCAAGCGCAGGGGCCAGGGCTCAATCTCGGCACTACAGGCATGCCGGCTCCACCCCCAGGAGTGCTGAGCCAGCAAGCAAGTCCAGGCACGGTGGCGTGTGCCTGTAATCCTAGTGCTGGGGAGGCTGAAAGTAGGAGATCACTGAGGAGTTTGAGCTGCATCGTGAGACCCTGCACGATAACTAAATAAATAAATAAATAAAACTTATTTATTTTAGTTCTTTAATTCTTGTAGAATACAGATTTGGTATGTTTATGGTAACGCAAATTTATCTGGATTGGGATCTGTTTCTATTCTGAAAAATATTGACTGGTTAAATGGTTATACTTTTTTTAAAAAACATGTGCACACAGAGAACATGTGCAAATAAAAAAGTTAATGTTTTAACTCATTTTTTCTACGTTGAGTCTCACATCTGACTTGGTACCACGTTTCTGAGACCAAGATTATAGTGATGTGAATTTGTAATGAGAAAGTTCAAGCATTTTTATATTCTTAAAATTTCTTGGGGCCGAGAAGATAGGTTGGTGGTCTAAGCGCCTGTCTGGCAAGAACAAGGACCTGGGTTCGATCCCCAGTACCGCATGATGTGACAGAACCCTGGGCACGCTATGCCAGCCACCGAAACTGGGAGTGGTGATGCACACCTGTAACCCCAGAGCTGGGGAGGTCTGAGACAGGAGGATCACTATGAGTCTGAGGTGTGTAGCAAGTCCCTGTACCAAATAAATAAATGAAGATTTTTTTTAAAAAATCATTTGTTAATGAAGTGACTGAAAAGGTCCATTGAAAATACATACCTCTGGGGGCAGGGGATATGGCTCAGTGGAATAAGTGCTTCCCTGGCAAGCACAAGGGTCTGAGTTCAATCCCCGGTTCTGCCAAAAAAAAAAAAAAAAAAACAAGGTCTGAGAATTATTTTTGTACAGCAATTAACCACTAAAAATATATGCAGTGTATTATTTGTTGAAACTGTACTCTCGATTTGATTTGAAACTGTCTCATTGCTATATGTTTATCAATAAAACTTTGAAAAGAAAAAAAAAATATATACCTCTGTGAAAGAGGTTTTTTCACCTAACGTGAATTTTCAGTGCTTTTAAGTAATGGGGAAAAGATACAAGGCATCATTGTAGTTGAAGGAAGCCTTCACTTTCCAGAAGGTAGCAAGGAGGGGTGGTTAAAGAAAACATAGTAGAGAACCACCAGTACATCTTTGTTTTGTTTAATATTTGCAATTCATCATACCTTCTTCACTGTACTGCAGAAAACCTTTGTTGATTATAATTTGGTTCTTTACCTACATGACTAGTAGCTAATCAGTATTATTACTGCATGCGGAGCATTTTCTCTTGTAAGCATAACAGACACTTAAAATCACCTAGGACTGAAATTATTTCATAACAATAAAACAGTTTCAGATTCTGATTTAGATTCAGATGTGATATACCTTAAGTATTTTTTTTTAAACAGATAACTGAGCTTTTCATCTGGAAAATGTGTTAAGTCTATCAAAAGTGGGCTGGGGCCGGGGAGATGGCTCAGTGGATAAGCACTTCCCTGGCAAGTGCAAGGGCCTGAGTTCAATCCCCGGTTCCACCAAAAAAAAAGTGGGCTGGTGGAGGGCTGGGAAGATGGCTCAGTAGAATAAGTGCTTGCCTGGCAAGCGCAGGGTCCTGAATTCAATGCCTGGTACTGCCAAAAAAAAAAAAAAAAGTGGGCTGGAATTTCTTGTTATAAAAATTTTGAGGGAGGTGAGGAAATGTTGGTTATTCTGAGCTAAGGAAAATGACAATGAAGGTTTTAAATTATTATTATTATTATTACTATTACTATTATTATTTTGGAGACAGGATAATGCCATGTAGTTCAATTGGCCTTGAACTGTGTAGCCCACACTGGCCTCAGACTTGCAGCAATCCTCCTGCCTCAGCCTCCCAAGTGCTGAGATTACAGGTGTGCACCACTGTGCCCGTCCATCCCACCATGAGGTTTTAAACCCAGGTTTTATTAATTAGGTAGTCATTTAACATGGTGATTATGAATTCCGGCATCAGGTTACTTGGATTTAAATCCTGGCTCTCTGCTGCTTGCCAGTAAGGATTAAATGCTAAAATCCTTCTAAAATACTTAGTGCCTGATGCATAGTTACTGCTTAATGTTATAGGCATTTATGACCTGTAAAACTAGTTTAATAACTATCCGTTTAGCATTCAAAAAAAAAGCAAATCCCAGTGTTTATTGAGTCCTTGCTTGGAGGGGCTGTGTGGTCTCAGTTCATCTCTCCCCAGCAGACCTGCATTTGGTAGAATGCTGTACTGAAGCAACTTGGGGTGTTTGGATTTCACATAATTTTCAGTCCTGACATTTCAAATGGCAGTTGAAAGAACATGGCCACATTTGTAGGTCTTTCTGTGTATCAGGCCTGGGGCTTGGCACTGTAGAAGCCATTTAATCCTGACAGCTAGAGTGCAAGTTTAGGTTTTGGCCCCATTTTCACACACCAGAACAGTGATGGGAGCCTTTTAGTTTTCAGTGATGTGGACAGCGCGCACACTGTAGGTTCACCACCACCACACTAGGAGGTCCGGGTGTGGGCGGGAAGCACTTACATCTTTTTTGTTTTTGCGGTACTGGGGATGGACTATACATCTCGCTCAGCATTGCCTGGCCTGGAAGACTTGGGGTTCAACAAGAGCCCACTGTGCCACGTTGCCCCTTGTTGCTGGGTATGGAAATGGCTTTTCTTCCTTTTTTTTTTTAATACCAATGGTCATAGCTTAGATCTCTTTGGAATAGCTTAAGCAGTTGATTTCTGTCCCCACATTGTCGCCTCTTAAGTGTTGCAACCACTCTAGTGGTATCTGTATCTTATACCCTACTTTAATGCATTCATGGGAGGATATTTAGAGCTGACATGAAATGCTTTTGTGCCTGGAAACTGCATGTGCCTTTGAGCTCTATAACTTAATGCTGGTCTCTCTGAACGCAGTCGAACCACATGACCAGGACTCTTCTGGGATAGTTATTTTTTTAATAAGTTAAAAAGAAAAATGTATCGTAAGCAATTGAATTGAAAGTTTTTGAATTTTAGGTGCTGGAGATGGTTTTTAACACTATTTTAAAATATCGGTATTTATGCCCACCAGATACCAAATATATGAGGCACTGTTGTATTTATCCTGTTTTCTCAAGTTTTATCAGAATAAAAATTTAATATTTTTGAAACATACTTCCTTTGTAAAGTCACAAATACCACAGATAAATTGTTCATAAATTGAAGCTAGAGATCATAGGATTATAACTAATCGAATTGCTGAAAAATGCTGGAGGGAGGGATAAAACAGATTATGGATTCAATTGAAGAGTTGCATGTTTTTAGGTTAATTGGTATCTCTGTTGCCAGAGGGATTATACTATTCCAGACAAAAATAAAATATTAATTATCATATGATTTATATGTTCCAAGCATAGGGAGAAAACATAATTAACTGACAGAGACAGTTTGGGATTTAAACAGTGTGTTCATTGTAGGGCAGTTGTAATGTTGGTGATTTTGACAGGACTTTCATGGGCAAGACAATGTTGTTGTCCAAGTTAACTCATTTATGTGCATGTGGACAGGACCACGTAGTGTCACGTGGAAAACAGTTCCAGACCAGTGACCACATGCCATTCCACAAGTATCTCCTGCCGTCTTAATAGGAGAGTGGTTAGAATGTAGGTGGATCGGTGTGGGTTTACAGGGGGAACAGCGCTGAGTAGCTCTGTCTGTCCTGGATTCCTCCCTCACAACAGTATTTATTTTAGGAGTACCTAGAAAACCTCATTGTTGCTCAGAACCAAGTTCAGAGGAGCATGTAAATGACCATGTAAAGCCCTTGGTAAGTTGGCTAGCTTTGAAAGACAGATTCCGTCATTCCTGCAAAAGCAAATTTGTAGTAAACATAATGCAACATGCATATTAAAAAGTAGCTTGTGAGAGACGTAGAACTAGCTGCCTGTGTTTTATTTTCTTTTGTCAGAAAAGAGATCCAGTAACCCAGTGGGTGGGAGTCGGTGCAAGCGTGTCTAGGTGTTCTCAGGCAGATCAGCTTCTCCATGTTAGCTGTGACGGCATATACTCACCCCCGTGTTACGAGTACTTTAATTATGTTGGAACACACATTGGTAAGGATATATGCTGTGACTGATTTAAAACCAAATAATTTAATCTTAGCTTAACACTTAACGTCTTGATTTATAAACTGAGCATGATGACACCCGCCTGTAATCCCAGCATGGAGGGGCTGCGGCAGGAGGGTCGCTGTGAACTTGAGGCCATCCTGGGCCACGTAAGGAGACCCTGTCTCTAGAAAATAAATAACAATAAACTGAACTTCTTAATGTATAGTAGGCGATCAGTGATTTTGAATGAGACTTTTAGAGATAATACAGCAAGACATAGTGGCATGTGGACCTGCAGACCCAGCTACTTGGGAAGCTGAGGCAAGATTTAAATCCAGAAGGTCAAGTCCAGCCTGGACAACATAGTGAGACTCCGTCTCAAAAGAAAAACAAGGGCCAGGGAGATGGCTCAGTAGAATAAGCGCTTGCCTGGCAAGCACAAGGACTTGAGTTTAATCCCCAGTTCTGCCAAAAAAAAAAAAAGAAAAAGAAAAACAAAAGCAAAAATGATACAAATGTCTATTAGTGATTGGTTTAAAACCAGTATTTATATTGAATCCTCCTTAAAATTTATGAAAAATGACAGCCATGAGAAGGTGATCATTCTGCTTCTGAAAGGAAGCTGCAGGGGCTTAGCGTGGTGGCAGTATGTCGTGCAGCCCCCAGAGCATTCCTTTGTAAGCTATGTGCTCCCCAAACAGCTCTGTAATAGCACGTATTAAAGATGATTATATGACAAAGATAAAGGTACAGCTTCTCCTGTCCAGTGTGTATAACACTACTCATCAGCTGTTTTATTTCTTCTAAACTGCTGGTTCTGTTTACTACCTAGCAGTGTCCGTTACCTAAAAAATACATTAGTATTCATGCAGGCTTAGTTTTTTTCAAGCTAAAATGTATAATATGCAGAGTACTGATACATGGTTCTCAAAGTTTTCATGTCAAGTTTGAAAATATTTCTTCATCTAATATAATAGCCTTTTTCTTTTTGTGGTATCTGGGATCGAACTCTGGGCCCTGTGCTTGCCCTCTAAGCGCTTATGCCACTGAACTTTCTGCCCTGCCCAGCAGCCTATTTGTTAGTACAGATTGGTACTACTGCCTCTGCTCTGCAGACTGGGAAACAGGCTCAGCTATTAAGTGATGTGACCAAGATCATATGGCTGCACTGGCCCTAACTCAGCTCACTTTCACTCCCCTGCCCAAGCTGTTTCCAAGAAAAGCTTCTAAATAAAACACAATGTTGTTTAAGAAAACAGCTGGATAATTTTGTATAGTTACTTTTAAACCTTTGAACATTTTAAACTAATTTGAAAAAATTATCTAATTTCAAATAAATGGTCATCATCATAGGAAGCCTGCAGCAGCTTGTCAGTGCCCCAGTGGGGAGAGATTCAAAGCAGCTTTTATGTTTAATGCCATTACAAATTTTAGAGTCTACTTGCACTTTATGTGTAGTATATTTTAAAAGACCCCATAGAATATCTGCATTATAATTTAGTAAAATACATCTCAAATGTTTACTCCTATGTTACACAGTTACAAATACCATCTACCATATTATTAAGATTGAGCCTTATAATTTGGAGCCCTAAAAGGTGAAGGATCACTGTGAATACAGATACTTGTTATGGTACAACGATGCAGAGTACAGATATTAACTAGAAGTCCACAAATGGGCTTCAGTCTGGGAAGCCTAAAGTTATGTACAAATACGATCTGAGGTCATGTTTGGCCGGAAGGAAACATGAGTTCAGCTAGATGTGACTTCTAAAGGTATGTTTAAAGTGCTTATGGGAGCAGGAAGGAAGGGAATGCTGCTGTCCAGGGTGACAGTGGCTGCTTGCTTCGCACGTGCCTGTTAGGGCTGGGAACCAAAGCCTAGCTTTGTGCGGCGCTCGGGAGCACAGGTGTGGGTGCTGTGCGCCAGGCACTGCTCTGGGGGCGGTGGAAGAAGTGTGGTGGAGTTTTCATGATTCTAGAGCTTGGGTAACTTGCGTAGGGGTCCTCATTTTGCAGGTGAAACAAGACACAGGCCGGCTGACCCCAGGGTCTTGCATTTAGTAACAGTAGAGCCAAGTCCCAATTCCAGTCTCTAATAAAATTGGTGCTCCTCACTGTTCTATACTGCTTGGAATGTGCTCTGAGAAATGCTGAATACCTCCTGGCATTCAGTATGCTTTCCTTTCCTAAAATGTAAGCAGAGTTCCGTGGGGTAGCAGTGCCGGATGAGAATAGTGGGGTTTTCAGGTGGGTACATGTTCATAATTTTGAAATGTACTTCATTCAGCAATAATGATTTGCTTAACAGAGAAAACATACATTTTATGTCATGTGGCCTTTTAATTTATAAAGGTTATTTTATTTCTGAGAGAAAAAGTACTTAGTACTCGTGTGATGTACCCAGACCCCATTTTATGAAATGGAAAACTTTTATCACTGCTATTTTAAGAGAAAAATCAATCATCTTGTGGTTTAAGGGATTAAAAAATACACAAGGCATCATGTGATTTAAAGAAAGGCCAGTAATGGTGCCCTAAACAGGCTATCTTAGCCCCTCGGGTTTTAGCTGTTACATTTCACCCTGTTACATGCAGGAGCTGCCTCTTCTGTTTAGTGATCACGACGCCGAAAAGCATTTAGGCAAGCATTTAGACGCGGTGGTGCGTGCCTGCCGCCCCCCCCCCCTGCTCCGGAGGGGGGAAGGGGGGAAGCGGGGGCGCCGAGGCGGGAGGCGGGAGCGGGGAGCGGGGAGCCGGGAGAGGCGGCGGGAGGCCGGCACTTGAGGCCAGCAGCCCAGGCAGCCGGCTCAAGCAGTGGACAGCAGGAGCAAAGGAAAACAGTTTTTTAAAAACTGGATTAAAAGAAGATTGGCATTTGGTAGCACCCACTTGTGAATTACTTCCTTTATATGAATGTCTTTGTTCTGTTTCCTGTTTTCCTTAAACAAAATAATTATATTCAGCCATCGCACATTATTATCCGTTGAAATATCTAGCTATGCAGCTGATCTTAGACAGGTGTATCTTTCAATCCTATTTGGACATGAAGAATGCTAAATAGAAGTAGCTCAGTATGTGAAAGAAGTTTTAAATAAACATGAAGATCTAATTATTAAAATGTTATTATGCTAGGAAGGTTTGCTGCTGTGGTGTAAACTTTTAAAGCATTTACAGGGAGGTCGGAACTTGCTTAGCAGTGGTTACAGTTGAACAACCTCCCCCTAACTTCCCCTTTCCCTATTCCCTATCTTGGTCTACAGAAATCCGGAAGGGCTGGTCTAATAGCTCATCCGATTAAAGCCCCTGCAAGCAGGCACAGGTGCTGGGCTTTGATTCCTGGGCCTGCTCTGCCAGCCCTGCTCCTGGGGCGCACTGAGAAGGCAAATGAGACTGGGCGTGGTGGCACGCGCCTATAATCCCAGCTCTTGGGAGGCTGTAAACAGGCAGATCACTATGAATCCGATCTAGTGAGATCCTAACACCCTGTAGACCCTTGCCTAAAGTACAAAAAAAAAAAAAAAAAAAAAAAAAATCAGGAAGATCTCTCTTAAGCTGAGAAAAAGTTCTAAGAAAGGACTGTGTCCACAGTTAAGGAATGTTTATTTCTGGAAGGTCAAGCAGGTTCTCTTAGCAGTTAAGTACAAAGCCAGTGAACATTTTAATTTCATCCATGGTGCATGGATTTCTTGATTTACCTAATAATCACCGATGTCCCAAGCCTTAACCTTTAGTTAGGTAAGATGTTCAAACTGGCATTTATTTGTGACATTCTGTTGGAGGTGAAGCATGGCATCAGTTTAAAGAATATGTGGTGAGTGTCAGTGTCTGCTGGAGGACAAAGAGCCATTCGGAAATTATAGTGATTAAGACAGAACTGAGTAACCCAAATCTGAGTGTGGCCGGCGAGGGATGATTACTTCCTGTATGCTGACCGGGGCTTTTTAGCAGAGTGCAGGTGCTGCCAGTGACGCGCAGTCCCGCGGCCGCGCAGAGGACAGCGTCCTGCCAACTGTTTCCGTAGTGTGTTCAATAAAGACTCCTGAGGTCAGAAGGTCAGTACTTTACATAGATAGTAAACTGCGTATCATTTTATTTGTAACCCCATGTGTTAAGAAGGGACACTGTTAAAGTAACAATCACTTTAGTAACAACCAACAAACCAATATTTAATTTGGTACTTAAAATAATTAAAAGTCCAACGGAAGCAGTCTCTAAAGTAACTAAGAATTCATGACAAACACCATTAATTCAAGCTGTACTTACTGGAAATTCAACATGGGTAACCTAAAATGTACCTACAGAGATAAAATAAGGACGTAAATTAGCCAACTACTACATGAGATTTCAGGAAGTCCCTAAAATTATTTTTAAGAACTTTAGAACTAATCCACTGCATGTAAAAATGGATTAACTACAAATCTTTTAGCTTCTTTCATATACGACCTTATTAGAAGCAATATATTTGCATTCACTAGCAAAATTTATGGCAATAAAGTATTCTGAAGTGTATCTCTCATTTTGCTAGTTTGAAAGAGTCATTCCAGAGAGTCATCTGAATTTCTATTAAAACCTAAGCCTTTAATGAAAAAAAAATGTCTCTGAAAATAAGGCAATTTTTCTACAATCTGCTTATGAATAGAAAACAACTCTTTGGTTTTTAGTTTAAGTGACCGGGAGGATTTTGCCAAAAGAAGCTCTAAATAACGCAATTAAAAATCTCTGACTAAGCAATGGGAAACTCCAAACCCCATCAAGGTCAGTAGAGTACCTAAGGCACCTCAGGTTCGGATGACGCAGTCCTCTTCACTTAGAGTCCTGGAAGTCTGTGTACAGATCCTTACCATGTGGAGAAGGTGGCTGGGGCCCAGCAGTGAGGACTGCGGACGAGAACGCAGACGCTAGGAGCTGAGCAATGGGACACACTGGAGGTCATCTCTTCTCCCTCCCGAATTTTAAGGTGAGGAAACAGGCCCAGTGAGGAAGCAGCTGACAACAGCTTGTGTGTCCAGATTCCTAATCCGTCGCTTAGAGCAGGACGAATTGTGGACTTTGTTCTCATTACCTAGCAGACCAAGTGTGAAGTGTTTCAAAGATGTAAAATTAGGAAAAAAAAAAAAAATCGCCATCAAATTCCCAAAGGCAACTAGGAAATGTGTAATACTTTACTGTCTTAATTCCTTTATACCATGTGTTGGACAGCTCAGATAATAGTTAATTGATTTATACAATTCCTTAAATTCTATCTAAAAATAGACCAAAATTAAATGAGAAAGTTACAGAAGATTTCATTTGAGCATACATAAGGCCATGATAGTGTGAACCACCATTCTTGAGAAGGAAGAGATCCAACGTCCAGTTCCGAGAGAAAGCTGCTGACTAGGTATCCAGTAGACTCTCCACTCTCCAATGGGGAAGATGATGCTTGTATTTTTTAAAATCTCTACAAAGCTCACATACAAAGACAGTACATCCTAGATTTGTGACTGATAGAAGCATTTAAGGCGGTCATTTTCAAGTATAAATGTTTAGTGTTCCATTACCCAATCTGTGCAGTACGTAGAGCTGCAAGTACAAATCATACAGATGAACAGAAGCCTACCAAAGACAAATCACAGTTTAGGCGAAGCAAGTGGAAATGTAAGGAAGGCTCAGGAAACTGCGGATTAGATTCTGCATCTCTAAACTGCATCAGTGGTTCACACTTTGTCTAACACTGCTGTGTGGTGTGGCATTTGGAACATGGCAGATCTGTAGCAGACCAGCCAAGAAGGTAAGGTGGGCAACAGGACCACTTAGTAAAAGGGTTCTCCTCTACCACAGTCCTGGGCCTGTTCCTCAGAAGATGACTAGAAATGGCTCCAGAATAGCACAAAAGCTTTACAGGTGGACATGAGAAGTTTGTTGCCTTTTTTTTTTTTTTTTTTTTTTTTAAGCAGAGCCTTTCCTCCTCACCTCAGGACAAATACATACTGCTTGTAAATTAAATCAACATTTCTGGCTTAATGGAATATTGTGAAATGCCATACAGCTGGAGAGAATAAGTACTTGGGAGCCAGTGGTATTCTGTTAACTTACATTCTGAGTGTGCACATGAATTGTGATTCTGTAATTTTTGCTGTGGTTGCAGTATGTGTATCTGAAAGGTGACAACAGTTTTATTACAGAAGTAGCTGCTGTTTCAAGTTCGCGCAACACGCTTGGATTCCAGGTCTTGCCTCTGTAACGTACGCGACCGTTCTCTGCATCTCGGTCAGCATATACACATCTCTTTACATTTGATATACACAGCCAATGTGGGCATTTAACAAAATTTACCAGCTATTTCAGAGAGCTAAATCGGGTCCATGATTATGGCTAAGTCTGACCCCAAATTGTAATTTGTAATTTTAGCATGTGTCTCGTGCAGTTTGGGGAGCATCAAACTAAATCTACAATTGTCAGAAGCCTTGTTACAGTGTAATGCACAGTAACTAAAATGTGTACATTTTTAGTGTTGATGATAAATGCAGTTCCAACCTGATTATGCTTTTGGCATTCGTTAAGAAAGCACATAAGCTTTAATATAGAAGTATCTAGGTTACAGTGAACTTGTGCTCAGGTAACGCTAAGCGTTGGCTCGCTTTGACCTCACACATCCTCTCCTCAGGTGTGGCCCATCTCCTGCACGCTTGGAGCGACCTTTGGCTATGTGGCCGGCCTTGTCATTTCTCCTCTCTGGATATACTGGAATAGAAAGCAACTTACGTACAAGAACAATTAACCGGAGCAAAGGGAGAAGAGAATCCTTTGTGCAGATTCCGTAAGGGCTGCGCAGAAATGTGGATGGTCAAAGCCAAGCAGTTCCATTTACAGCACTGTTGTGTTTTTTTTTTTTTTTTTAAATGTAGTTTCAACATGTGATTGTAGCTTTTTAAACTATGAAAACCCTGAGAGATTGTATGTTCTAATTGAAATAAAGTATTTATAATAGATTGTGGCTTCAGATTCTGTTTGCTGCTTGTTAGACCTTTAAGGGACATTCTTAAAGAATTTTACAGAATGCTGAGGACAGGTTTTTTGTTTTCTTTCAAGTTTTAAACTGCTTCATTGCAAGAGGTCTGGGTATCGCTGTAGCATTTCATATGCTTTCTGAGAGAAATTGACAGTTTTCTTGGCCACTGAAGATGTTTTTCACGTAATCAAACAACAGTTTATACATCTTGATCCTATTCTTTTTTTAACTGCATGTTTCTTTGGAGTTAAGATGGCTATGATAGCCTCATCGAAAACAGTCTTCAGTCCCTTCTGGGTTAAAGCTGAACATTCCACATAGCAGCATGCGCCTATCTGGGAGGGGAAAATAAAACCACAAATGTGTAAAATCCTTTTACATAACTGGCTGACGTATCACATTATAACCAACTGTAAAACAGAGCTATGCAAAAGAATAAACATCCCTATTCATGTGCCCCTCAGTAGCCAACTGTTAAAACAGCAGTATTTTTCCTAGACTTTATGAAAACTTCTTTCCTTCATCAAATACTTGAATACCTTCTGTACCTCAAGCACTGCTTGACTGAGGAATAGAAGCTACAAGGTGTCCAGCGCATCACTGTTACACACTTCCTTCAGAAACCCTGCTATACCACAGCCTTGTCTTCCCGTGTTACTCTGCCACCTACTTCTACGAGTCGACTGAAAACAGCCTGACTGAGCACAGCACAAATGTTCAGGTACTTGGAAAGGGATTAAAGTCAGCACCTGTGACCGATGCCTCTGTCCATGCGTAACTTTTTAAGAACATGCTGCTGACAGTGTGGCAAGGATAGAAGAGCCTGGCTTTGGACTGAGACCCAACTCTGCCTGCCACTTGCTACTGTAGGACCTTAGACAATGACCCCAAGCCTCCGCTTTCTCGTCACGAGGCAAAAAGACCTGCCTCGCAGAGTCACGGTAAGGATTAAACAAGACAAGGCATGTGAAGCACCCAGTACAGTGCCTGGGATCCCGTGAATACGCAAGTGTTAGCTTTTATTATCTTTACACTTATTTTTTCAATTCTACAAATGTTGTGTTACCTCTTTTGCTAGTTTCTGTCCTTGTTCCACACATATTGGTTTTTCTTTCATATCATTCAGTCTTGCTAAAGTTTTGGGGTCATCTCGGAGATCAATCTAAAAAAGGTCAATAATATCCCAAAACATTACAAGGCTTTAAAGAGAAAGCATGTTATCCCATTTAATCCTCAGATTAAAAAAGAAAGATTAAAAAGAAATTTAAACTTATTAAAGCTAAAATAACTGCTTTGTTTTGATACTTTTTTCCACAAATACGACACTAACCCACACCTGAATCTAAACACCTCCTTTGCTAACCTTGGGACCACCTGTCTGAGAGTAACTCTCACACAATGGCAGCAGAACGTACGCTTAACTTGGTAAAATCAAAGCAGATGTACCTGAGTTCCTATTAATAAAAAGGGGACGTTCGGCGCATACTCCTTAAGTTCCGGTACCCACTCCTCTCTCACGTTCTGAAATGAGGCTGGATTGACCACGGAGAAGCATATGAGGAAGACGTCAGTCATCGGGTAGGATAAAGGCCTCAGACGATCATAGTCTTCCTAAGATGAAAACAGAAACCACGTCATCTACATTTGCACTTCTACAGTTCATTTATCATATGTACGTCATGTCATATGACCAAAGAGAAAACTCAGGAGTATCCCCCAAATAAAATGTGTGGCACGCTATATAAAACAATATGAATTCCACTTGTTTTCATTAATCTTTGCAAAATTCCTGAACACTAGCAGGGGAAAAAAAAAATATCACGAATCAATTCAAAAACTAAAGCACTCACTGGAAACATTTTTAACTAAAAAGTCTGCACAAAGCATGGAGAGCTAGATGTTACAACAATTTGTAGATACTTACCATGCGTCAAGTGTCCCTCATCATGTCCTCTCAGGAGCTACTACTAAACAGCTCCCCACCTGCTTTCCTTCTGAGTAAATGGAGGCACTGAGGGCGGGTGAGGAGTGTGTGCAGGTGTGTGGGTGGCAATGTGGCCGGAGGGAAGGAACTGGGATTCGGGTTTCACACCACCGTCTACACGCTTACTCGCATTCAACGTATAGTCATACAATAGTGGTTTAAAATTTAACAAATACTATCACAGTAAAAGACATATTGCTGTCAGGTGCCTGTAAAATATTCCTCTTTGAACACTTCAGCTTATCATTCCTGCTGCCTTCTGAAGCAGGTCCCTGCACTTGTGTGGCTGCCTCTGGGTCCTAATCAACTTGAAAGTGTTTACCTTTTTCATGGTCATTTTGACTTGGGCACAGGGCCAGATCCAGTGAATACGGTAAAGAAGGCACATGGTAATGTTTTGGGCAGAAACCACCATAAATACTCTGTACTGATTTAGGAGATCAAGGCAGCCAGGAAAAGGCACAAAAGAGGACTTCCAGACTGTTCCAGAAAGTGGCAATGCCACAGGATACGTGTGTTCAAAGCATGGGAGAATATTCTGAGGTTTAATGCCAATGTGTCTGTTAGTGTCAAAGAAGTTTTTCATTTCAATATTCACCACGTTTATTGGTCTCACCTCATACCTTCACTGAAACCCTCAATTCTTGCTTCTCCCATTTTCTGTAGTTTTTTTTCACTCCCCCCCCATGTGTGTAAATCCAAAGACAGCAGCCTCTGGGGTAACTTCACAGAGACATCCTTCTTCTTCCCAACTGCTGTCTCCCCTCCCAGATGTCTGTGTCTAGCTCCTCAGCTGTCATCTTCAAGCATGCACCCGCCACCCGAGCTGCTCCGGACACACACAAGGTGGCGCAGCACGCGCTGCCCCGCCCGGCCTGGGGGAGGGCTGTCCTAGAGGACGCGCTGGCCTCTTGGGTTCTTCTCCAGGCTGCATCTCCAGGAGCTCCAGATGGCTGCTTCAGTCTCTTACCACAAAGGTGGCTAACGCCCTCCCTGGCCGGTGCTTTAGACCACTGAGCCATCTCACCAGCCCCCAGAATTCCATTTTTTTAAAAGCAGAATATCACTTTTATATATATTTTTTCCTTGGGTACTGGGGATCAAACTGAAGACCTTGCACTTGCCAGCTGCTGAGCTATCTCTCCAGTCCTTATTTTTTAAAATATATAATTAAGTTTATTGGTACATTTTTAGATATACATAGTGATCTATTCACCATAGGGAACTTGTACCTGTCCGTGATATATTTTGATTTTTCTATTTTTCCCAACACCCTCTCCTCCCTTCAACCCATCTTCTCCTCCCTATTCACAAAGCTTTTCCATTTTATCCTCCTTAAGAGCTTTTTACACTTTTCCCTTCTTTCCTTTTCCCCACACTTTTCTTCTTTCCTTTTGAACAGTGTTTTTTCTTTGCCCTGGGCTAGATATGCATCTGGATTTTTTTGGATTTTCTGTTTTTCTTTTTTATATTTAGTACAGTGTCTACAGGGTCTGACGACACAGACTGGACTCGTAGTGATTCTCCTGTGTTCAGCCTCCCAAGTGCTGGGATTACAGGCGGATGCCACCACTCCCAGTCTCAATCTCTCTCAGCTTTTGTGCCCCTGGGGTGGGGCCAGCACAGCACACTGAGGATTGAACCGCAGGTGCTGCCGTCTGCCTAAACAGGCGCTTTAATCCGCTCAGCTATCTGCTGGCCTTTGCATCTGGTTGCTAGGAAACGGGCTTCAGTCTCCTCCCCTCTTCAGTAACACACTGCCCCGTTAGAACAGCACAGATTTGGGTCTAAGAACATTAAAAACCTCTTCCGGGGCTGAGGAGAGAGCTCAGCGGCTTAAGCACCTGCCTGGCAAGCACAAGGTCTTGAGTTTGATCCCCAGTACCAAAAACCAAAACCAAAACCTTCCACTCAGAGCCCTCACGGCACTATTTCTTCCACAGAACAACTTTTCTTTCACGTCAGCTCCTGCTATTTTTCTTAATACAGTCTGCAGCTCAAGCACAGAGCTTGAGGCCGGTTGGTTCCAGGACCCTGTAGCTACCAGATCCACGGAGGCCCACGCTTCCTACACTGAGCACAGCACATGCAGAGCCACCACACGCGTTCCTGTGCCGGTGCGATCGTGTCTACAGCACGTATGATCCCTCGTACAGTGTAAGCGCTGGGAAGGTGGCTATGGCTGTCCTGCTTAGGAACCAGCGAGGGAAGGCCTGCCATGTTCAGTACACAGCCGTTTTGCCTCCAAGTACGTTCAGCCACGGCGGGTAAGAGTCTCCGGGCCTAGAACCCAAGGACCCGGGCTGGCGGCGGTAACATCGCCAACTCTTGCCTTCGGGGGTTAGCTCTTGCACTCTGCTGCCAGGCCTGCGAGGGGTTCTCCTGAACTTGAGCCCCACACTGAAGATTTCCTAGACAATGGCTCGCATAGGACAGACAGAGGGAGAAAAGCCACCCCTGACTTTCTGTACCCTTCTTTATTTTGTTTTGAGACAGGGTCTCACTATATAGTGCAGACTGGCCTAAAACTCACTATGTAGCCCAGGCTGGCCTCCAACTCACAGAGATCCTCCTGCCTCAGCCCCCAGGAAGTGTTACTACAAGCGGAAACAAAACAAACAGAAACACAAACAGAAGTTAACGAGGAAATCAATTAGAGCAGGTATGGGACAGGCCAGGCTCCAGCGAGTCACTGCAGGGCTACTAGCAGAAGCCCACGTTGAAGCCTCCATTTGAGCCCTCAACAGCGTGATCGCGCGCACGCCCCACTCCCTGTTTCAAGCTGCAAGTCCATCAGAGAACTGAAGAAACAGTGTTTGACCTCGGCCTCCTACCCAGCGTCTCTGCTTCCGAGCAACCTTCGCTTGGCACGGCCTGGCCATGGGTGTTCTCATTAAAACACTCATTCAGACTTAGGTTTCCAGCGGTCACAGAAACAGAGGCCGCGATGTTATTCTAGAGGATTATGAGGAATAAATAAAATAATGCAGCTAAAGCCCTCCGTGTTGCACCTGGCACATGAGTGAAGCTGTCCGGTGCCTTAAAATGAATCCTTTATCGCTGCAAAGCTGGGGCTGCGCCTTGGCAAACCCAGGCCGAATCCCAGGAGTCCCCCGTAGTCCCGGCTGCGCATCTCCCTCCGACCACAATTAAAGCAGCATCTTCAGTGAGAAATAAAAATTTTCTGCACTCTCAACAAAACCCATAAACTGAGGTCTCTTGTGGGCAGTATTAATTTTCAGAATAGTAAAGAGAATGATATCCCTGCAGTAATTAGTCATTTTAGAATGCAGCAGCCTTCAGACTACTTAAAAGAGGAAGAAGAAAGATTTGTATATTTTCAAGAATGCCAAATTAGATGCTGTAATGAAAATTTTACTTTTCAAGCAAGTTTACCTCATCAGGGAAGCAGAGCAGTACACTCTTTCTCTAGGGGGACAGGACAAGAAATTTAAAGGAAGTGAATTCAAAGTTCCTAGAAGCATTTGATGTTAACCAAAGTATTCCACAGGATACAAATCGCTTCTATAGAGTCCTGTCACAAGCACAGTAAGTCCCAATTTTCTTCAGTGAGGACACATGGGTGCAAAGAAAGGCAACAGAGCAACTCAATCCTCGGTGCTGTATGTGTTAAACCGCAGCACCTATCAGAATAATTCAATGTGTGAAAGTAAATTCAATGTGTAAACAGTAAGAAAACAAGTAGGCTTAGAACTCTTTGGAAAGAAATGTTACTTCATAAATGCAAGCTACCTAAGATGAACTCCTTCTGCCATCACCTCTGGCTAAATAACTGGCAGTTGTAAGAATGAGACCTTTTTGCTTTCATCTAGCCTGAGTAATTAGGAGTCTAATAATAGCAAATTAAAAAAAAAATAAATTATCCCCTGAGCATACTGTACCTGGCACTGTATAAAACTGCTTATACCCTCTGTACCATATCTTGAGTTAATGTGGACTATTACATTTGGGGATAAATAAGTAGAAATGCATAGGGCCTGGCATCTAGAGTATGTATTTTAAACCTGACACAAAGTATAGTGTGACTGCCCTTTTAAATGACCACCTATCAGAACTTTTCCCAGCCACCTCTCCAATGTCCTCCTAATTAACAGACTAATTATATTTTAGATCTAATTTTAAAAGTAGGTATTTAAACATTTGACTAGAACATCCTTAAGAATGCAGAAAAGTCTATTAGAGACTATCATCTGACATCAAACCTGTGAAAAAATGTTGAGTTTGGTCAACAGGATGTTGGACTGCTTAGTAAATCCTTTACTTTGTATCAGCAGGCCAAGTAGCAGAGGTGACCATTTTTCAACTGGGGCCAGGGAGATGGCTCATTAGAATAAGCGCTTGCCTGGCAAGCACAAGGGCCTGAG